CAATTCCTTTCATAAAACTGTGGGTTGCAGTAGTTGAAAAGCCATTCCCTTATCTTAGTGAAAGGGTTTAGGGAAAGACTGGAGAATTCAGTTTTAAAAAGGATCCCAATAGCCCCATAAGAGGAAAAAACTTCCCAGAGAACTTTTTTGCAAGCAAAATGATTTGTCAATTAGTTTTGCAAATGCCTCCATAATCAGCATAAGGAATGTAGAGTTGTTAGGAAAACAGAGCAGGTACTCCACAATATATAGGTATATGACATATTCTCTAAGAAAAGATGTATCTAGATAGCAATCCAAATTAAAGCCAAATTTAGAAATCAACCTCTTCCTCCAAAAAGAGTTTCTAGAAAGTAGTGACAGTCAATATCACTTTGAGATGTTGACGTAAGAACCTTCTTAGCTGATATGATTGCCCCTAGAATACTGATGGGGAAAGGGGAGTCATCATATTTATTGAGTAGCTACTTGGTCTTTGCATATTGTGCACATTCCACATTTAATCCTCCTCACAAACCCCATAATGGAGGAATTATTATTTCTGTTTTAGAGATGAGGAAACCATAGGTTGGAGAGTCTAAGCAGCCTGCCCACCACCACCCAATTATTCATTCCAGTAGAGCCAAGATCCAAAGCTAAATCAGGCTGTTTATCCCAAAGCCAGACTTTTTACCCTGCACCACTTTAGCCCCTCCCCAGTCTTAACTGAGTGAATCTCATTATAGTTGAAGAACATCTGGCATTGAAGACGGTTTGACAATTAACCATTTACCAAGCTGAGATAGGATTTTGCCCTGTGAGTAGAAAGGACAGTTGATTCAATTTATCTTATGCCAGAAGAAGGAAGTTTGGCAAGACATTTTTCATTGATCTGATAAAGTACTTATTTTCTTCTTCCCAAGTTTCACCTTAATCCGTGTCCATAAGGATTTTGGCTCTAATAAGATTGTATAAAATGAGGTGGTTTGGGGGCCCAAGAACTAAAATATATTTGACTTTGTTCCTTTTTGCTGTTGATCCATATTATGGGACATGGATATTTTTAAGTCCACTGTGCCATTCTTTATTATTCTTGCAAGCAAACTTCCACTGTTCCTGGTAAACATTGATGCAGACGTTCTAATGTCCAGATCTAACTCTGTACTATTTATAGAACAGGGGTCCATCAAAATTTATCAAACAAACTTTATCTTTATAAAAGGCCAGAGAGTAAATATTTTAGGCTTATCAAGACCTCTCTCGCAACTATTCTGCTGGGCTGTTGTAGTGAAGAAAAAAAAAGAGTTAAAAAAAGAGAGGGTAAACAAATGGGTGTGACTAGATTCACATAGTACATAGATGGACTTGGCTCAAGGGCTGACCCCTAAATTAAAAAGAAAGGAGTTTGTTTACCAACAAAAATGTATTAAAAAGCAACCCACCATCTCCCTGTATGTCTTGAAGGGTTCTTCCCCAGTATACAGCAGAACATGGAGAAATGGCTGTTCATCTGAGGTCTTCAGTCACAGGGTTTCTCAAAAAATACAACCACTCTCTTCTGTAATTTGCTGTTTCAGTCAAACATTCATATGAATCAGTCTTTGAGAGTTTGGTTATATTATCCATTTTATTTCTGGGAGAAGGGATGCCCCTGTTCCCTTTGCTAAAGTGTTGGTACTTCTTAAAGACCATCTTCTAGCAATTTTCCTAAAATGCATGTCCTCTCCTAAGCAACTGTATTAAAGAGTTCCCTCCCACCTTGATTTTCTGTCATATGCCTTTGCTGTATCTGTTATTGCCCTTTCTCTTTGAAATCTTCACACTGGGACCACCTTTACCTACAACTCATTTATCTTTTGTTTATTTATTTTTTAGACAATAGTCTGTCCTCTGCCGATTTCACTCACACAGAGTAGTGTCATAGCTAATCTAGAAACAGTGCATAATCCCCAAGTCACCCCTACTTTGGAATGCATTATGTGATTTTTTATGAGGAACAGATTTACTTTGGGAATTGTATTCTTCTCAACCTAATATTGAAAGTCTTTTTTTATTAAGGTATCAACCTAATATTAAAATCAACTGTAATTTCTGAAGAACCTCATTGACCAAAGTGATATAGAAGTGTGTTTCTGATTAGGAAAATTGTTTGATGTGGATAATACTTATACAGATAATGAGAGATTTGAGTATATGAATAACCAAATAACAGTTGGCATGCCAATCAACAGATATATTTTGAAGCCCCGCTGTTTGTCATTGGATATGTAGCCTGTACTTCAATGTTATTAGGCTCTTTCATGTGTATTATTTTAAGCTTTACAAGAACTGTATTACAGAGATATTATTTTCATTTTGTGGATTATGCTTTGAGAAGTAAAATGACTTCCCACAGGTCTCAGAAGTATAAAGAAGAGTTGGGATTTTTATTCAGTCTTCTGATAGTAGATCCAGCACTATTTAAAGAGCTATCTATGGGTATATAGTGAATAGACTCCATGTAACCCAGAAACATCATTGCCCTCCTTATTTCTGGACACTGAGAAGACCATAGATATAACACATGACAGAGCTTCTGCCTGGAGGGAACTGGTAAACTATTTTCCAGGATAAGGCATATATGCACTCATACTTGCATGCTTTTGTACATATGCTTCTCTCTGCAGGCCCTGTCTTTTATCCCTGTCTATCTGTTTTCCTTCTAGCCAATATACTTAGCAAATTTATTGAGATATAATTTACATGCAACAAACTGCATCCATTTAAAATATACAACCAAGGAGTTTTGATAGGTTTACATCTATAAAATGGCCATGACATTCCAAATACAGAACATCTTCACTACTTCCCAAGGTTTCCCTCTGGCCCTGGCTCTAGACAAGCACCGATCTGCTTTTTGTCATTATAGATCAGTTTGCATTTCCTACAGCTTTGTATAAATGGAATCATACAGTATATCCTCCTTTGTGTCTGGTTTCTTTCATTCAGTACAAAGATTTTGAGGCTCATCGATGCTGTTGCATGCACGGGTAGTTTGTTCCTTCTCATTGTTGAGTAGTATTTCATTGTAGATGGATATGTCACAATTTGTTTATCCACACACCAGCTGATGGATATTTGGGCTCTTTCCAGTTTTTGGCAATGGTGAATAAAGCTGCTGTGAACACGAGTGTACAAGTCTTTGTATAGACATATGTTCTCATTTCTCTGTGGTAAACTGTAGGAGTAGAATTGCTGGGTCATTGGGTAGATGGATATTTAACCTTGTAAGAAACTGCCAGTTATCCACAGTGGTTCACAATTTCACATTCCCACTAATATTCCCACTGGAACGTGTGAGTTCCAGTTTTTCCATATTCTTGTCAAAACTTGTTACTGTCAGTCTTTGGAATTTAGTCATTCTACTGGGTGTGTGGTAGTATTTTTCTGTGATTTTAATTTGCATTTACCTGAAGACTAATGACTGTGAGCATCTTTTCACATACTTATTGGCCATTTATATATCTTCCTTTGTGAAGCTTCTGTTTAAATTTTTATCTTTTTTATTAACTTGTCATTATTATTGGATTATAAGGTATCTTGTTTATACTAGATACCAGTCTGCCATTTTTTTTTTCATTTTCTTAATGGCGTCTTTCAAAGAGCAAAAGTTTTACGTTTTGATCAAGCCCAATTTATCAGTTTTTTTCTCTTACATTTCTTTGTATCTTATCTTTGTTACCTTTGCCTATCTCCAAAGTTTCAAAGATCATTTTCCCTGTTTTCTTCTAGAAGATTTACGGGTTTAGCTTTTACATTAAAGTTTATTGTTTACTTTGAGTTGATTTTTATATATGGTGTGAAATAAGGGCCAATGTTCATTCTTTTCTATACACTTATCTCATTCTAACAGCATTTGTTCAAGCATCAAGCATCTTTTTGCCCCCATCGAATTGCATTGACGTTTCTGTCAAAAAAAAAAAAAATCCCTTGAGCATATAAGGGTGAGTCTATTTTTGGATTCTATTCTGTTCCATTGATCTGTATGTCTATCCTATCCTCCATTATTACCACAGTCTTTATTATCATACCTCTATAAATAATCTTGAAGTAAAGTAATCCATTCTTTTAAAATTACTTGGAAACTTCTAGAACTTTTATATTTCCATATAAATTTTAGAATTAACATGTCAGTTTCTGCCAAAAAAACCCAAAAAGCTTGCTGAAATTCTTATTGTGAGATTGTTCTGAGTCTATAGCTCAGTTTGGGTAGACTTGACATCTTCATGACGTTGGAGTCCTTGAGTCTATGAACCTGGTATGTCTCTGTGTTTCTTCAGGTCTTCAACTTCTCCAGAAATGTTTTGCCATTTTCCTTTCACACTGTATCTATTACCTAGGGATGTAGTAACAAATTGCCACCAACTGGTTGGTTTTAAACAACAGATATTAATTCTCACAGTTCAGGGACCAAAAGTCCAAAATCAAGGTATTGGCAGGTAGGTCGCTTTTGGGTGCTTTGAGGGAGAATCCATTCCATGCCCAGCTTCTGGCGTCTGCCGGCAATCCTTGGCACTCTCTGCCTTGGTCTTCACGTGCCCTTCTCCTTCTGCGTCTTCACTGCCTCCTTTTCTGTCTCATAAGGACACTGCCATTGGATTTAGGGAGTAGCCTAATCCAGGATGATCTCATCTCAAGATCTTTGATTACATCTGCATAAACTTATTTTTTAAAAATGTCATGTTCTGAGGTGCCCAGTAGCTGCAATTTAACTCACTATACAAATATTTTTGAAAATTTATTCCTAAGTATGTTTTAAGTGCTATTATAAGTAGATTTTGAATTTTCATTTCCAATGATTTGCTGTTCATATATCAAGGTATAGTTAACTTATATGAATTAATATTGTGCCTTATGATTTTGCAAAGTGCAGTGATTAGTTCTAGTCATTGTTATGTAGATTCTTTTGAGATTTTCTACATAAACAAGCAACTTACTTCTTTTCCTATCTATGCCTTTTATTTTTTCTTGCTGTATTACAGTTGCTAGGATGTCCTGTGAATTGTTGACCGGAAGTGGAAAGAGCAGGCATCTTTGCCTTGTTCCCAGTCTTATAAGGAAATAATTTTATAGTTAACCATTAAGGATTATATTAACAAGTTTTTTATAGAATGCTGCTTATCAGACTGAGAAAATTCTTTTCTATTCCTAATATGTTGAGTTTTTGAAAATCATGAATATGTGTTGAATTTTATCAAATATTTTTTCTGCATCTATTGAAATAAAGAAATGCTTTTTTCTCATTTGTCCTATTAATGTAAACACATTAATTGATTTTTTAAATATAAAAACAATCTTACATTCCTGGAGTAAATCCTAATTGGTAATACTGTATTTTTCATATGTTGTTAGATTGGATTTATTTAATTCTGTTAAGATTTTTGCATCTATGTTCACGAAGAATATTTTGCTGTATTGCACTGTCATTTATTTGTCCAATTTTGATTAAAAATGAGTTTGGGAACGTTTGCTCTTCCTCTGTTTTCTGAAAAATTTGGAAGACTAATGTTGTTTCTTACTTGAATATTTTATATAAATCACCAGTGATACCATTTGGACCTGGAATTTTTTCTGGGGGAAAGTTTAGGTATTGAATTTAAGTGCTCTAATAGATATAAGGCTATTTAGATTTTCTGTTTCATCTGTGTCATTTTTGGTAAGTTGTATTTTTCAAGGAATTTGTCCATTTTATCTGAGTTCTAACTCACTTATTTTATATCTCTAGCCTACATATTTTCTCCTCTATTGAATGTCTCCAATAGAAGCTATTTCTCATCCTTTGTGCATACTTCATCCAGTATCATTTGGGGTTGTTTGTCCAAAGGTCTCTTCCTATACTAAAATAAGGGACCTTTAGCACATAATCGATATCAACACCTCCCAAATGTTTAACTAATTACATGATTCTACTTATCATTGTTTAGCTCATAGTTACACAGGCATGTTCCTATCTCTGAGATTATGAACATCTTTTGAAAAATAAGTATTATTCAGTGCTCATATTCCTTCTATTCTTATATTTAGAATAATTTTTAAGCTATTAAAATGAACAGACTTGTTGAACAATACCAAAAAAATGAATATTCTATAAATTCAGAGCGGTTACACAGAAATCTGGAAAATTTTTATCAATAGAGAGAAAGGAATAGGGAACTAACATCAACAAGTGCTTACTATGTGCTAGGCACTGTGAAAAACAATTTGTATTCCTTAAGTCATTGAACCTAAAAATAATTAATCATGAAAGGTGTTATTATCCCTATTTTATAGGTCAGGAATCCAAGGCTCAGGAAAGTGAAGTACCTTGCCCAAGACTACAGAGATATTAAGTGGCAGATCTGGGTTTCAGATCTAAGTCTGAATGAGCCCTTTATCCATGTTCCTGGAGTCAGTTATACTTTTGCCCATTCAGTTTTCTACAAGGCCCTTAATGGGTTTTCTCATGTTATCCTCTCAGTTTGGTCGAGTAGAATATCTTGTGGTCCCCCCCCCTTGAGTGTGGGAATCACAGTAAGCTTAGGAAAACTCCAAAGTGTTCCCTGAGTATTCATTCTGGCTATAGCACAAAATATACAGGAATAGCGTGGAAGATCCGAAGGAGACATTGCACAGTACGCTGCCTACCTCTCTGCTGTCCTCATGCTGTGCGTCAGTTTACTGATGATGTGCGACTCTGGCCTTATTTTGGTGACAGCAGTTGCCACTCTTCTGCATGTGGCTAATTGGGGGCATCACTGGTTGCCGAGTTTCTACCCAAATGGTGTAAGGGAAATTAGGAGGCCAAGGCCATGATAATTCAAGCACTCTCCAGGGCTTGGTGTGGAAGGAGAGGATCTTTCCTTACAGATTATCTTCCCTTTGCGTATGTACCATATTGGTCCTGCTTAGAAAGGTCTGTGGGCTAATTTGTGCAAGGCACGTTCTTTCTCCTCATGTCTGATACAAGAACTATGAAACACCAGATCCGACCATACAGCCTTTCTTCTGCTGCTAACGAGGGTGCTTCCACCTTAAGGTTCTTTCCCCCCTACAAAATAGTTCTCTGTAAGTCACCCAGTTGGGGTTGCCAATGATAATCAGGCTTGTTCTCAATTAGAAACGTGACTAATGTAATGTTACCAATACATCTTAGCCAAGGGACTGGAGAGAGAAGGCACGTTTTTTTTTTTCTATGATTCTGGCATATCAGTTGAAAGAAGATGATTCTGAGGTCTCTCCCAATGTGGGGGGGGAAAAAAAGCATTTGTTTAGGTATTTGCATACAATACTAGGTCAGAAATTTGCTACTTCTCCAGGGAAATTATTTGCAACACATCACTGAAGAGACAACAATTGACACTGGTCATCTCCTGAGCTCTGCCACTGTGAGGGTGATACTTTTATGCATTACAAGCACCAGACAAGGGAACTGGACCAATTCCCTCCCTTGAAATTCTAGTCTTGGTTGGAATGAGTCCCTTAGGCATCCACAACTCTAGGTTCTTTCTAACTAGGAAATGAAGCAAATGCTTTCAGGGCTGGTCACATGAGGGGGAAAAAAGACTGTAAGACATCCCTGCGTTTTAAATGTCAGAGACCAACATGGGCATCTTTCTCACCTTTAGGTAGTAGATGAAGCTTCTTAGTGGTCTGAGCATCAAACTTGTTGAGAGAAGGACATTCTTGAGATTTAACATTAATTAATAAGTCTCATTCAGGCAAACCTAGGTCAAATGATATTCTACAGAGAGGGGAGAGAGAAAAGCATAGAATAAATGCATGAGCCCTTAGAAGCTGTTTTCAGTTGAGGATTTTTGAGTAGCCTCTTGAAATCAAGGGACACAACAGGGATAGGAGGAGTTGGGGAAAAATGACAGGCAAGATATAACCACTTTTTCCTTCCCGTCTAATACTGTGCTGAGGCAAACCGCAGTCCCCCAGGGAAGCTGCCTTATAAAAACTCGTCGAATGAATGGAATGAAAGAAAGAATGGATAAATGTTAGATTCTGAACTCTCTTGCATGGCAGCTTCAAATCACGGCACATTTGTTGTGTCCCATCTGGGTGTTACAGGAGGCCAAGAGAGATGTTGCTCTTAGGTCCTAGGAGCTGAAACCGCGCTCTGCCCTGCCTGGATAGGACAAGCTTCTGGCAGCTTCTGCTATCCAGAGGCAGAATGGACCCTCTTGCCTACAACCAGAGCACTACTGCCAGTTCCAACAAAACCCCTGTGTTGCCTAAGGAAGCAGTGTTTCTTCTTACTAGGTACAATCTTGGCTCCACTGCCATGCGTGGGGCTCTTCTTGGAAACGTACTTCAAAGACCTTCCTATATTGCATCGCTATCTGATTCTCCTGCTGAGGCCTTATGGAAAGAATGAGTTGGGACAGATTTTCCCCATTCTTCATGTTGTACTATAGAGAAGTGAACTTGATTTCAATGAGATGACCCTCTTCTTTTCGTGTTTTTCTACTCCGTTTCACCCGTACCGCTTTCAGATCACTGTCTTTGTTGAAGATTCTGTAGAGAAACAGAAAAGTGCAAAAAAGATCAACTGGCTACTGAAAAGTAAAATGGCATTTAACTGAGACTCATGTTGCAAAATCATGGGCCAAAAAAAGGTATTTTGCTAAAAAAAAAAAAAAGCCCTGTAATTAAACTTCAGGGTAGCATAGCACATCACTGTCTTTTTTTGTGGTTTTGAGTGTATTTCATTCATACACTGTAAGTAGATATCTGTTGTATCACTAATAATTGCTCTGCTAAATTGTATGCTCAGCATTGCACATCAGTTTAACCTTGTTTAGTCATGACACTGTTATTTCTTTTCTGTACTTTTTTTAAGCTGTTTCTGAGTGGTGCTTCCTTCACATATGCTTTCAATTTTAAATAACACAATCTGTTTATTCCACTAGGCATCCTTATTTGCTTAAGTTAATAATCAGATTGCGATTGTGTTGTAAATAGGTCGATTTTTGCCTTCCCTTGACAGGAAAAGCTGTGGATGCTAAAAAAGAGAACTGAAAGAAATAGAAACTCTACCAGTCTTTTATGAACTCAGGGATTAGAGTAAGCAGAGCTAAATGTGTTGGGGCAGGTGGGAAAGAAAGAAAACAAAACAGAAGTTTTTAGAGCTTTTACTCTAAGCCACTCCCATGTCCCCCTCCTCTTCTTTCTACCACTGCCCAACCCCTGCCCCACAGTCAGAATCCAAGGCACAGGGCACCTCAGGAGCTCCAGGGAGAACAAGAGTGAGGCTAGGGTCATCCTTGCTGGGCAGTTGTAAGAGTTCAAAGCAGAAACACCAGGAGGAACAACCTACTTTTCGTGTTTGTAAAACTGCATCAGAGAAACTTCAAAATTGCATCAGTGATCCCAGAACCTTTATCAGTAAAGAAGTTTCTGCATTGAAAAGACTTAATCTTGTTGGGATCTTTTGAGGTAGGAAACTATGATGAGAAATAAACATTCTCTATATTCCTATGTATTGGGTATACCATGGAAACACTGGAGAGATTGTTTGCCAAAACATCTTGGCAGTTTTCAAAGATGGCAGGCCAAGTTATAAGAGAATGAGGGGAAGGAGAGGCTTATGTACTACTGAGTCCTGCATTGTGTGTAAAACACAGGTTTCAATATAAAGAAATCTGTTGCATAAAAACCTTGAGAAAAATATCACTCTCTTTTCTTTACCACAAAGATACCTCATGCAAGTAGCCTGTTCTTCAAAAAGAAATGTATTAGAAAATAAGAAAATTTTAAGAAAATCAACATGATCCTAAAGAAGCAGACATCTTCATTTTGGTTTTCTTTTCCATTTGCTTTTCCATTTAAGAGTTAAGACAACATTTCAGCAGAGAAATGTGGAAAAGGGTAAAGGGAAATCAATAAAGTTATTCTGTGACTTGTCCAGGAGGGAGCTGTGTTAATCGAGAATGGCTTGCTTGGCTATATATCAAGTCTGAGGAGAGAGCAGGAGTAGATTTTGAAGCAGATTTCCCAGGGAGACTACAGGATATAGATAGATAGATAGATAGATAGATAGATAGATAGATAGATAGATAGATAGATATGTAGATAAACATACACATACATACATACATGCACATATATACATATATAACTTTTACCAGAATGGTATGTGCATATACACTATTATATACATTTTAATATATATTAAAATGTGTGTATGTGTATATGTGTGTGTATATATGTGTATATATATATACACGCATTTAAAAAGTAGGTAAGAGTAATTTCATTAGATACGTGGTAATATCAGACAGAAATTCTTCTAAAAGTATTTCATGTATATTGATCTAGGATCAATGAGTTTCTCTAAGAAGTCTTTTGACTCCTAAAGAGGGAAATTGAAGTGCAAAAGAGTGAAGGGATTGATGAAGGAATGGAAACCAGGTTTCCTGACTCAAGGCCGGTGGAAGTGTCTTTGACCATAAGAAATCTTCTAGGGAGTCTCTCTGGGTCTTTCATGTAGATACTTTCCAGGGTGATCAATGTTATAGGAATGTTTAGCAGGTGTGTTTTCAGTAGAGGTCATGAAATAGGGCACTACCCGATTCCACTAATCCCACTAGGCCGGGTGCCACATCCTAATGTTCATTGGAGGCAGTGGTGGTTTCATTGCAGACAGATCCAGACAATACAGTTGGATGGGACACAGGATACCTGGGTGTCAGGCCTGACTTCATCTTTACAGTGTGATTTGAGTGAGTTATCTATCCTTCCTGGACATCAATTTCCCTTTATGTGAAATAGGATGACTTTCTCTTCCCATCCACATACTTTCTTATTGCCCAAGGAGCTTGTCAAAATTTCTTTGTTCCACTCAACAATCAGGAGATTTTTGGAGACAGCTAAAGGAAGATCCCAGTCTACTATGATTAATTCTACCGTTCTGAGATTCTTAACATTTTTCTTCTCTCATTTTGTATGTTCAAACTCTAAATTCTTTTGAACATCAATTAAAACATTCCATTTTCTAAATCTAAATTCAATCTAAATCATAAGTGTGAAGAAAGTATTTTTGTAAGAGAATGGAGTCTAGAGAGAGACAGGGACTCTGCAGGTCTAGAATCTCCATGGAGGGAATTTAAGAGTTAATCTAGGCCAATCCTCTCATTTTGTAGTTGAGGGAGCTAATGATCTGAGAAATAAAATGTATCATCCCAGGTTACTATGACAAAGCTAAGCAGAGCATCCGCATATCTTAACTCTCAGTTCTCTATTCTTTCCATTTGTTCATGTGTCTTGGGACCACAATAATTAGAAATAGAACCTGACAAGGATATATAAGGCTTTGGTTTTCCCCAGGGCCAGATTCCAGCTCTGTGTGCATAACTTGGCCAGCACAGCTTTAGCATCCTCATGGAGTACAGACGATTCATGGTTGCTGAAGCCTCTTCTTTGTTCCTTGTTGTCCCATAAGACCCAGCCCAGAATCTGGCTCTAATTGACCTCCTACCTTTCCTTGTTTACTTTGGGCATGGTTGAGTTCCCACTTTATCTTACAGCTATTAAATGTTGTCTTCAAGTTGACTCTACTCATTTGATACTCAGCATTCACTGAGCGCTCTCTGCGTGCACAATCAATGGGCTAGATATACAGCGCTGTATCTCAGTCTCTTAATTGCAATCACGGTGCATCTTGTCCTGCATGAGGTATGCTTACAGTGCGGGGGTGGGTGCTGGAGAAGGGGACGCTGAGGTGATCCAAAGGAGTCAAAGAAGACAGCGGATCAGGTGATAATTCTCCTTTACTCTTGCTGCCCTTCCTTATCCGGGCAGAGAAGTTAATTTTATGGAATTTTGCAAAGTAATCTCTCCCTTGTTTTCAACAGAAGAGAGGTCATTTGTAGGATTTCTCCCTCTACCTCCATGTCCACCTCCAGTTCGATACCTGACCAGTTCTCCATGAATTTTCCGAACAAAGCTAGTTTCCTGAAACCTTAATCAAGTCTCCCTGTACTCTGGCAAGCACGTCTCTAGGGCCCAGAGATATACACATATGGAGATGACTTGGGGTGAAGACATGATTTACTAATCATTTCCTCCCCTACTTTCCTTTCCAAATCTGTTTTCTCTGTTTACATTGTTTACATTGTTTTTAAAAAGACATTGACAAGTAGGCACCTAGATGTTTACTAGAAACCCCCAAGCACCATTAATGTTTCGAACAGAATCTGAACACCAGCTAGATTTGTTTGGTTGTTTTATTTTCAAAGTTTGTTTCCTCCTTCCTCAGCTCAGAACTTTCTCACTTTTTCAGAAATTTGAAGGTATGGATTTTGAGTAATTAAGCTCATGGCAGGAGAGGAAAATCATTAAGTATAGATCGTTTGCCTCTGTAAAACCAGTTGATTGGTCTGTGTTACATAACACTATGACCCTAGGTTATATTAGACTCCCGGAAGGGTCCAGAATGAGCAATCATGTATAAAGCACCTATTAGGTGGCAAGCGCAGTGCTAAGCACAGTAACATCAAAATCAGCACCTGTGTTCATTCAGTGCCTGTTAAGTATCACGCAGAGCTAAGCATGTACACCTACGGGTCCATAAACTGAACTAGTTTCCAGACGTGGGATAGGTAGTCCAAATATCACAGTGAATCTTTAAAGACTTAAGAATGCCAAAAATTTACTGAGGCTTCCTGATTTGGGAATGCAGGATGGTCGGTACCAGCCTGGATTGGAGCACACAGCCCAATATTCCTGAAGGGCAGAGCATCGGAGCCCAGAAAGCCATCCTGGCAACTGCTGATGTCGTTCGTTCTCTGTGGTCTTCATGTCACTGCTGTTTGTAGCATGGAGAGACTCCTTGAGAGGCGTCGAATGTGCAAGTTGAAAATGCCCAAGGTAGCCGTTGCCACTCCCTGGAGTGCCCCCTATTCATCTGTCTCTGTTTGAATCTCATCAGGAATTCTGATACTGTCTTTGGACCTTGGCCCCAAAACCGTGTCTCAAAATAATGTCGCTGTGTTCTCGTAACGTTATTAATTCTGTGCACCCAGTGCTTTTGAAACTCGTCTACTTTACAAATGCTCAAGGAAATTTCATTGCCTCGTTTTGAAGCTCCTCCCTCCTGTGCTGTCATTAGTGAATAATGGGGGAACCAAGACCCACAGGGTGTGGTTATTACTAACGAGACCTTGGGTGTTTCACAAGCTCACTTGGAATGAACTTGAGGCCGTTCGTACATAGTCACTCATTTTTCCTTACCACGGCTGGGTTGAGAGACCCAGATTCTATTCTTGGGCCCTAACTTCTTGGGAAAAGCATTTAGCCACTAATTGTCTCAGTTCCCAACTATGAAACAGGAAGAGTGATAGAAGGATATTTGCTTTCCCCTCTCCCTATCCTTAGCTTTAGAACCTAAGTAGCTTTTAAAGTATCTGACAAACCTGAAACGTCTAAAAGTGAAGAAGGATTTGTATCTTGACTTTATGACCATTCATGAAAAGGTGACATACAGTCTTAGAAGTCTGACTGGAAACCCTGAAGTCTGAATTGGAATCCAAAGGATGGCTCACCACCTTGAGTACTTCTCTCATTTACACTGGAAAGAGCTTAGAGATCCAGAGATGGTGAAGACTGTAAAAGGAGCCCCACCTTCTGAAGAGCATTAATTTGGTCAGCAAAAGTGTCTTCAGGATTAGAGGTGAGCATGCTCTTGGTCTCTGCAGCCTTCCCCCCTCCCCCACTCCTGTCTCTCATAGACTCCAGGCTTTGTAGCAGTTTCAAAATATACACAGACAACTCCAGACCAAGCCCCTGGCCTGTATCCTTGGTTGCAAATCATCTCTAGACTCTTGGCCTTGCAATCTCAATCTTCAAAAGTCCCAGGGGAAGAAATATGCCTCTTTGCTTGCCAGCCTAAACCTAATGACTGAATGGCAGGGAACCTGAACCAAAATAGAACTTGGCTCTTAGATACAATGTTTCATCCAAGAGTAATGATTTTTCTAATGTCAGGCTCAATTCTCTTACTACACAGGTAATATGGATCTTACCTTTCAGAAGGGCCTTGATTCTCTGTTTCTGTTTCTCTTCCTCAGTTTACCCACTATTATACAGGAATTGAAATGTACTTTCTGAAAACTGGTAGCATCAGACCCCAAAGCAATGGACTGTAGATAACCTTCACAGACCACATGGGCCTGTCAGATAACTCCAGCCCTTACATGGAGTTAAGTTAGAAGCCAAGAAAAGCCCTCTGAAACTCACCTAATGAGTCATAAAGAAGCACCCGAATTATTTTGCATATTCATATCAAAGATATTATTATATATACATGCTAAAGATTCATCTCACCATTGATTTCCCCTAATATCCTTAAAGGCTGAGGAACACAAAATTTTTTTTACTAGCCAAATATCCAAGTATTTAGCCTGATATTACTTAGCCTGACACTTGGAACTGGTATGGGTTTGGGGTATAAAATTTGGCAGACGACTCTTTTGAGACCACTGGAGCTACAGATTGTGGGTGCCAAGCACTGCCCCCTACTGGTCCAAAGTCTCATCGTTTACGAAGAGGGCTTTGATGACAGAGCAGAGTAGAAGAATCTTCCTCTTTCTCATCTTTCTGTGAGGAGTAGTGGGAAAGGTCAATGGTGAGAGACTCCTGCCAAGAGGATTTAGATAGTTCACATCTGAGGTGTATTTAGAGTTTAGGGGCTGGAGTCGAAGGACTGTGGCTATGCTTCCAGCTCTTCCTTAAGAGATGCCTCCCCCTCCCCCCACCCCAAGGACGCGTCATTGGGACCTGTGCTCTGGGTTGATACAATGGAAAGTATCCCAGCCTTGTAGAGATAGTCCATCGACTAAATTCAGGGGTGTTGAGACTCTGAAAGTGCATCACTTTGGGATCCTCTAGATGAGACTCTGTTTCCCCTTTTCCTGCTGACAGAGTTTATCTTCATCCCTTGGCTCTGTGGCCCCCACAAGGGAATATGAACTCCATCATATTCCCTCGGCCTCCCCTTGCAGAGAGAGGAATTGCTCATAGGAAGACTAGGGTGGAAATTAGCCTGCTCAAGACACCACATATACATTCTTAAATATTCTTTCCTCAGGAAAAACAAGAAGTTATCGAATCTTTTTTCAGAATACATATTATGAAAACCTGGAGCCTTTATTTAGGTCATACGGTCACGCATCATTTTTAGCTTCTTAATCTTTTTCTGAAATCTTTTCAGAAGCTATCTGACCTGGGTTGCTTCCCTCGGCTCTGGACTCACCCACACACTCTGAAGGGCAAGAGATCTCCCTCCCTGCACATAGCCTGGAATAGTCTTTCATAGCTCCATCATCCTGGACACTTTATCACTTGACATTACCTCCAAATCCACAGATCGGTGAGATTTCAGAGTTTGTTTGGCTTCACACAGAAACAGCATAACTTCAGAACATTTAGAATGAATGAAACAGGCCAGTTTGTCACTTTTCAGAACCACAGATAAATGTGGCTGTAAGTGGGACCTCAGCCGAAGAACAGTCTTAGGAAAAAAGGTTGCAACATGCTATTTTCATGTGCACTTTACTAAGCATTACTCTAAGGGTTATTTCGATATGAACTCTCCTTGCTCAAAAAGTTCCAGTCAAAACCACATTAGCACAAAATTTTATTAAAAACTTCTGCTCTGTGCCAAGTGCTGTGCTCTGTATGGGGAATACAGAAGTGACTACGTCACGCCCCCTCTCTTCATTCCCCTTAGGGCTTGGAGATGGAGATACACAGCATCACTTAGAAAGTGACAAATCCTCTAGGTAAGGAAATAACACTGCCTAGCACAGTGCCTGACATACAGTCAAGGGCTGAATATTTATCGGGTAAAATGAACTGACAGAAAGAACAAATAAATTTTAAGACCGAGTAAGTGTGAAAGCTATGGAAAATACATAGAAGGAGAAACTAGATTAACCTGAGGGGACCAACTTCAGACAGGGTCACTTACGCTGAGACAGGAGTGGGTATAGTGATGCCAAGGGAAGCCCAGGCCTAGGGCGTTAGGCCTGGCTTCAAATCAGTACCACTCACCAACTGGGCAGTTCTAACTATTGTGAACCTTATTCTGTGTGTATATAATGCATCGTGATGGCTCTCAAGGCTGTTTTGAGGATTTGGTGATATTAGGTATCTGTGTGTGTCTGTCATGAAGAACCTCAATGACAGCTATTAGAGAAGCCACCTAGAAACAAAACTGCAACGTTGGAGCAGTAATTACCTAAGTAGGAAGGTTAAGATCACAAATAGTTTGAGTGACAGATACAATAATAAGCTTTAAGTCATGGTGGAAATAAGGGAGAAATGCTACCACAGTCCTTAGCCCATAAGCCCAGACAAGGGCGAAGGGGGCCAGGCAGGTGATGGATGGGGTCCATCTTCCTCTTCCCATCCATCCCAGTAGGTTTTCATATTCAGCTTTTAGCTGCGGAACCGTGCCTGTCGCTATTCACAATATGGTAAATACCCTTCCAGATAATCAGATCATTTTAGGATATTATGATGTGTGGAGGCTTGATGCAAACCATATAAAAAATGTAATTTTTCCCCTGTAAGTTCTTGTAATAATTAGCTATTGTCACTTTTATCTTAAATATCCACAAATATACCAGTCTGCTTTCTTCTGTTCTTCCACCCATGTGCATTCAGATAATCAGATCATTTTAGGATATTATGATGTGTGGAGGCTTGATGCAAACCATATAAAAAATGTAATTTTTCCCCTGTAAGTTCTTGTAATAATTAGCTATTGTCACTTTTATCTTAAATATCCACAAATATACCAGTCTGCTTTCTTCTGTTCTTCCACCCATGTGCATCAGGTCCTTTCCCACTGCATTCATATAGTTAAGTCAATTAACACATGTACACACACACACACACACACACACATACCTGCTCTCCGCTGCTGTCAGCTTTCTTTTTAGGTAAGCTTTTGGGAAATGGCTGAGATGAATTGGATTGTCAGGTATGTGAATGTGGGGTGGGAGGGAGAAGCTAGCAGCTGACTTTTGTACTGGGTGTTTGGTCCATAACATGACACAGAACTGTATTTTGACATGGCCAAAAAATGTCAGGCCAGAGAGTGAGGGAGGCCAAAGAAAGGAGAAGGTGGTGGTCAGAGATGGAAAAAACTGTAAGACATAAAAAAGTTGCAGACATAAATTGGAGACGGGAGAACTAGAGGTGTTTAAAATGATGATGGGGGAGGGAAAGCCATTGATTGGGCCTTTGAAACTGTGCCAGGAACCAAGAGCCAGGGGCAGTGGCAGAGGGGAAGGCCAGGTAGGACAATTAAAACGGAAATCTGGCTCCTTACAGCGCAGCAGGAAGCCGGGCTACAGAATTTGCTGCAGTGGGAGGTGGGGCCAGTCTGGCACAGTCTGTGGGTTTGAAAGGAGCTGGGCGGGTTGGAGAATGCCAGTCAGCCTTTGTAGTTTTGAGCTCAGAGAGGGGGTGACAAATACTGGGCTTCAGGTCAGAAGCCTGGCTTGGGTGGCTTTTGGAGAAATTTTCCCTGTGCTCCCAAACTCTTAAAATGCGCTCATCACACCACTAGCTTCCAATCACAGCATAAACACGTGTCCGGGAGGCCGTCCTCCAGCGGAGATTTCCGCAGCGGTACCTGTTGGCCGACTAATGGGGTCCTTTCCTCTTCGTGTCCCCTAGATGCCATAAACTGGGCTGAATGCAATATCTCTGTGTATTTCCCTTCTCCCTTCCCACATGCTTCAGATCTCCCAGACTCCTAGGGTTAATCCCCAGGACAACCTTGCTTTAAAAGAAAAAATGTGGTGAGCCTTCTTGAAGATTTGGATCCCAGAGGTCTCTGTCCTGCCTCAGCCAGACCCCAGACAGCCGGCTCAAGAAGATGGACATGTACAGAGAAATAAGCAGTAAGTTTTTGTGGTTGTTTGCTTTCAAGGCTCAGGGCCCCGAAAGCATGGGGTTTTCTTTTTCTTTCTTTCTCAGCAAAAAAGAAATGGAATCCCCTTCTCATTCTGGGGGTGATTCATAAAAGCAATCCGAGGAGAAATATTCATGATGCTTATATCCTGACTTAAAGATACGTGAAGTCGATCAGCTTGTGCCTATTCTCAACATGGTAATATTTTTAAAATGTATCTGCAGTTGTTAAAATATTTTATACTGATTGTTCCCCACCAGAATAAATAGTATAGCCCTGGTTGATGGACTAATTGTCATGCATTTGTCCCAGGACTTGCATAGGTATCTTTTTTTTTTGAGGATTTTTGTGCATATTTGCTGCTCATCAAAGGGAAGGATAGAAAGACTTTGGAAGGAGGGTGTGGCCCGGCTGATTCAGCTTCCTTCCTGGCCCACTGCTAACTCCTTCCTTCTGCTCCGACTTCTCCTACCCTGGTTCCTCACATCCATTCTGAGCCAGCTGTCAATGAAATAGCAACTACTGTTCTTTTCTGTTACAGCCTGTGTTAGACTTGGTTAGGTAGGAGACCACTCCCCATAACCAAACTCACTGTATTTCTGATCTCAGCTTTAGTTTCAAACCAAGATGTAGCCCAGACAATTGCATCTACTCCCTCCACTTTACCCATCCTGGGATTATTAGCCAATGTAGTAATAGCAATAATAATACTGTATTTAGAAGCTCTCTAGCACATTTCATCTCTGAGAGTCTTACAGATGTTAACTAATTAATCTTCAAAACACTCCATACAAGAGAGGTAAATATTATTAACCGATAGAATGTACATATTACGTATATGCTAAGGACAGCAAAATAGTTCACTTATTTATCATGGTTCACTTGATAGAGTAACTGGTATTTTTTAAACACCCATCATAGATACAATAATTAGAGATGTGCTTTTGTTAACAAAACCACTACCCACTTCTAGCGTACCCTTGGGTACTAAATAATTACCCACTTTGTGTGGTTATCTAGCTCACTAATTACCCACAGAAATTGGGGTCAGGTGTTAACTGCTTGAAATAAGTATCCTCCAAGGACATCTCTGAGTTGTGTAGAGAAAATGATGTGTTCATAGCAAAACTTTCATAACTCATTTATTTGTATATCTTTGCAAGCAGTGTGAATACAGGCAGGGGCAAACTAGCTTAGTATGTGAAAATCATTCTGAACTATTGTTGCAAATAAACAGAGGTTCAGAAGAGTCTCAGGAAATTTCATCCTGGTTACCTTTCCATTTTGAAGATGAATGCAGTGACATGTTTCCCATAATCTGGCCTTCCTATAGAAGTACACTAAGGCAATTGATGATTCTGGTTAGGGATGATTCATTTTGACATTACAGGGAGGCAGCCAGTGAGTCAAAGATTTCTTTTTGACAGCTCCACCCTTTATGATTATTCTAGCATGTTTTTTTTTCTCCATCAGTGTAGTACAAACACCCGACCAGCCAAATCCGAAGAAGGTTCTAACCCAGTCGCCAACCCCTGCCAGCCATCTCGCTCTCCTTCCCAAAAATGACAAAAAGAAAAGAAAGTATTAAAGGAAATCCAACACTGTGATTGTAGGTCTTTCGCTTTTTTGCTTTGATTTGTTCTGCTCTCCTCTCTTCTTCCTGTCTCTGGGTCTCCTTTTTCTCCTCTTCCTTGGCATCCAGCTGTGCTGCTGCAGGTCTCACAGTCAGAGACAAAGCACAGTGTCTGAGTTGAGCACAAAGAAGCTACCTTTTAAAAACATCCACTTGAAGGAACCTGCATCCTCAGATACCTCCCTCCCTCCCTTGTTATTTACAGACCCCACTGTTAGAACTTAACACAACGTTGCCTGTTATCTGCATGATTCCAGCCAGGAAAATTGGATTCAGATGGCAATATACCCACTGTGTGTATAGATAGGTAGAGACCCTAATTTTCAGGAGATGACTGCTTTGCAGGAGATCCTTCCTTAGTCAACTTGGGATGTCTTTCCTTTTTTTCTTGTGTCACTTTTTGTCATCTGAATTTCATTATCAAGGGACTCTAGGCTGATCGATGAAGTGTGTATGTTTCTGATGGACATTTGAGGAGAAAGGCTTTAGGAATAAGGAAAATGTCTGCAGGAGAAGCAAAGGGTTAGGATGAGCTACAGGGACTGATGAATTCATTTCAAAATCCACGGGAACGTAGGTGGTAAATTAGTACATATAGCAAATCTGGTCAGTGAGCAAAACCTAGCCATTGAAACGAAGGAGATTTTTTAGCCATGTAGTCATCACATGCCTGAGTAGAGTGTCTTCGTCTTTTAAATAGACGTTTGAATCACTGCTCTTTTATCTCTCTAAATGCCAATTTCAAAGAAATATTTGGGCATTGTTGACTTTCTGCCCATAAAGAAAACCCACCAAGACTCATGAAACACATCACCTGCACACAAACGTGGCTATTATGCGCTCCATGCCCATGGGATGCGGAACAATTAGGCTGAGAACTGCTCTGTGGTCTCCCTTCTTTAGTCCTTTACTCTTCTTTTTTCCTTTTAGAAAATGTGATACCTGATCTCTGAGTCTAGCAGGCCGAAGATTTTTTTTTTTTTTATATATTTGTATACTCCAGTGTCTGGCCTTGCCCCTGACCTGCTGGTGTATTTTCGAGCTCATTAGTAGTCAGGAAGATGCCTTAGCGCATCGGTGCTGCGAGTCAGGGATGAGATACTCTACAGCAGAGAGAGGGAGTGAGCGTGAGAGGATATGAGCCGCGAGGCTTGTCTCCAGGATATGGAAGTGAGAAATGACAGGACCGCAAGCTTTGTATGTGGGAGCCTGGCAGGGCGGGGGTGCGGGAGGAGAGTGCAGAGATCCAAAAAAAAAAAAAGTGTGTGTGTGTGTGTGTGTGTGTGTGTATGTGTGGAAGCCATAGAAGAGCTAAAGGTGATCCGAGGGGGATATTGGTTCCTTATTCTGCCAGAGATTTAAGCAGGCATGCGAGGAATCTGGACCATGGTTGGCAGAAGGAGACCCGTTGCCTCCGGTAACCAGACACTCGAGCTTTCAGGAGGCTCGGGAAAGAGCGGAGAAGAAAGGGGGCAGTGTGGTCTAGGAAAATGCAACTTGTCGCTGATTTGTGCCTGATGCTTGCTGTCCGTCAGCAGCCTCCCTTACAATCTTTTTTTCTCCCCCCCCCCCCTTTTTTTTCCCTTGCCTTCTCCTTCTTCACTGAAGCCTAGGGGAGCCAGTAAAGATTAAATGTGCTTCTCAAAGGCAGCCACTTCATGCTGCTATGTTGAAGGGGCCATTATTATTATTATTTTTAATAGTAAGAGGAAAAGGGAGAGAGGGTGAGAGAGAGAGAAGCTAGGTAGGATGATGAGGGACTATCTTTTCGGAGAGGCAAAGGGAGACAGGAAAAAGGCAAGGGGGAGAAAAGGGAGAGATCCTGAACTGAACAGAGGATTGTGCCTGAGAAGAACCTACAGAGGTGAGAGAAAAAAAAAAAAAGTTGTCTTGGAGATGGGGGTGGGGATGCTGAATAGCCCCTGGCAGAGGGGAAAAGAGACGTAATGTAGCTGTCTGGCTGGTAGGATTCTGTTTTGAAAGGGTGGGGGGTGGGAGATGGGGGGAAGAGCACGGAGCTTTAACGGTTCTTAGTTGCATATGGAAATATGTAGAGAATATTTCGCATTTAAGTGCCGGAGGCCCCCTCCAAGGTCTTCCTTGAAGGGGCTGCTTTGTCATTCCCTGTGATTAGCCAGCCATCTACCTTGCTTAGGTTGGAATAAAGGTGCGGAGGGGGGGGGGGGTGGAAGAAAAAGGGGAAGAAATTTTGGAGAAAGTCATCTTCCCACCCCCTTCGCCTCGTTCCCCTTTCCTTTTTGGAGGTGGCACAGGAGCCGACTGTGCACAGGGAAGCTCAGCTTCCAGGCAGATGGGGAAGGCGACTGTCTGTCCGGTACAGAACCAGCAGCTTCTGCGAAGATGGAGGGGAATTATGCTTCGGATTCCTCCGAAATTCTGGCAGGAGGCTTCAAAGGCCCGGCGGCGGGAGTGGGGTGGGGAAGACGCATCTCCCCAGCCTGCACCCACCCCTTCCCACCTCGCGGCTACCAAATGACAGCCTGGTGCTGGCTCTGGGTGGTTTGGCCTTGGCTTCAGCCAAGCAGCTGATGCAGAGGAGGCCCCGCTTGCAGGACTGGCCAAGTGCACGCGAAAGAAAGAAGGAAGAAATGTGGAAAAAAAAAAAAAAACAGCTTTGGGGAGGTTTCTCGTTCTTAAAAAAAAAAAAATTAAATTTTCAACTGAATATTTTCAAGATTTGACCAGTCGCAGTCCCTCCCTCCGCTACCACCAAATTGCCTTTTTTCTCTCTCATCAAAGCACAAACTACAGAGTTACAGTCTCTAGATTTGGTGTATCGCTTCCTGCCCCCGCCTCCCCCTCCCCGCCCCGATCTCCGTCCTCTATTGAAACACCTCGCCCAGCCTGGCGCACTGCGAGCTCACATTTCCCCCCCTTGCTGGGAATGGTGCTACAGGAGGCTGCAGCCCTGCTCCGCTTCCAGTGGGTGAGTTTAAAACGCTGTTCGTATTTGTACTTTCATAGCCTCCAAATCCTCCTCCTCAGGCTTCTCCTTCTGAAAACCCGAGTTCTATGATTTTTGCATGCGGCATGCTTGCCCTGGGGGGAAATAGACGCCCCATGACTTCCTTACAGTCGGTTCTGCTAGTGGTATACGAAAGCTTTGAAGAGACATTGAACCCTAGTGCAGACCATGATTTATCAAACATGGTTACTTGGGGGTCTCTGTTCATATTATTTTCCATTTTAGTAAACTATTTTTCCCAAAGCTTCCAAGAGTTTCTCTGATAGGCTCGCGATGGTGTGTTCAGGTATGTACATGCGCCCACAGAGACTGCGTATGCGTTGCCTGTGTGTATTATTATTTAAACGGGATCTCCATTCTGGGAGCTAAG